GGCTGTAGCTGAGATCTTTAAGTTTTGCACATCATAATTTTCAAGGGCTACAAAAAAACTAGATAAATTTACAGTTCCACAGCTTTGCAATTCAGATACCAGAACATTTTTAATATGACCATTAAACATGAATATTAAATGAGTTCAATAGAAATATATATATATATCATATTTGAAAAAACTAACAAACAAAAAACATAATAAAAACAGTGATGTACAAATAAATAATGTGACTGGTTTTCTGACTTTATAGTTACAACAAAACCCAAATGTTAGGACCAACTACAGGCATGGTTTCCTTTGGTGTGCAGTAGACCCTCATTTATTGCGGGGGTTACGTTCTGGATTTGGAACTGGGATGTGCGATATGGCATCAAATTTATATCCCAATATCTATTGTGATGGGTGGCAGTAACGATAATATCATATGTTTTTGGTATAAAACTTGCAACAAGAATGAAAAAAAAAAGCATAGGGTGTCATTTTGCCAGCATTTATTTTGAAAAAAGCTATACCACAAAATAATCTCAGTTAAGAAAATTCTACTATGTCCAGAGAGTTTTTAAATAAAAACAAATCAAGTGTTTGGCTTCTTTCTTGTAGTGCAAAACAATGCCAAATATATCAAATGTAGTTTTAGCCATATGTTTCAAACAAAAGAATATGTTGTTAACGCTTAACAGTTTCCAGTCTTCTCACTTAAAAAATGAACTGCAACAGAGCAGCACTTTACATATAAAACACTGAAAACATTTAATAAAATTCAATTTCAAAATCTCACTGTCATTCGTTAGAGTTTAAAGATTGTTGGACAAGAACACTAGATCGTCCACAGTCTGGCTTTAACAGAGACCGTTGACATGAAACAATGTTGCTACCAATGCTAAATTACCTTTCTGAAAGAGAACTCGTGGCTGGAATACAAAGAAAGACGTTTTTGCTCCTGCGTTTTTAACGAGCTCCTCCCCTGTGCTCTCAGCCATGCTGCTCTCCGCTTGCTCTCCGCTTTGACGCCGGCTGATTACATCATCAACAAGCATTATTGTGGATAGCCAGGAGAATACAAATCTCTATCATGGGGTGAATGTCTATCGTTTCTACCATGTACCGTATACATCGCACATTCCTAGTAGCTACTAAATTTTACTCAGCAGCTCGGCAGAACAGCAGCAGCTCGGTTCCGCTCCAACTTGGTTCTGTTTCGGCAGACCTACCCTGCCGGTTCTGGTCTGCTCTCTGGCTTGGGGTGGTGGTGGCGAATTCCAGAGAGAAGCCGGACATACGGCTGCACGTCCCCCGCTCGGACGGGGTTAGCAGCTTTCAGGTTCACCAATAAGTCTGGAGGTCCGGTTTTGCTCCGGTTCTGGTCCAGTTCCTGGTGGGTTCCATGCAGATCTATGCATCTGCTGGGCACCGAAGTCACTGTTATAAGGACCAAACTTTTCTGATCAGATCAAAACTTTCTCACTACGTATTTCAGCAGGAAGCAATGGGGCATTTGGGTTGGGCAGTTGGCTACTGGGAAATGTAGTAATTATGAGTGGGGATACAGTGTACGCTTATTGAGAAAAAAACTACAAAATGGTGGCGCCTGTCCGAAGTACAATTTTTTTTAATAAACTTTTTTATTGTATAGTATATCCCATCCATCCATCCATCCATCCATTTTCTTTACCCGTTTATTCCATTTTGGGTCACGGGGGTCGCTGGTGCCCATGTCCAGCAATCACTGTGCGAGGGGCGGGGTACACCCTGGACGGGTCGCAAGTCCATCACAGGGCCACATAGAGACAAACGAGACAAACACCCATTCACTCTCTCACTCACACCTAGGGACAATTTAGAGTTACCAATCAGCCTAACATGCATGTTTTTGGACTGTGGGAGGAAACCGGAGTACCCGGAGAAAACCCACGCATGCACGGAGAGAACATGCAAACTCCACCCAGAGAGGCCCCTGGACCGGGGTTTGAACCAAGGACCTGCTTGCTGAGAGGCAGCAGCTCTACCAGTTGCGCCACCGTGCTGCTAGTATATCCCAATCACGTGAATATTATTAAAGTTGACAATCATGTGTAGTGTACACATTTTTTGTGTTCAATCTTACTTTGCAAAACCACAAAAGAGCGAGTCCGTGAAAAGTCAAACCACGAAGTAGCGAGTGACTAATGTCTACTTTGACTCAGATCTTTCGAAGGCTATATCCAACAGTTTGGTCCTTATGGAGCAGGTGTTTTACCCCGTTTTCAGCTTTTCCAGACAGAACAAATCTGATGGAACAAACTTGTGTTAGAGAAAGTCCGAAACGTTTTCAACGAGTGAACCAACGGACAGAGTTGGAAAAAAAAATCAGAGATTTTGCTGTGAGAAACTGCTTCATTTGTTTTGTTTGTCCTCTGCTCTGATGACTGTGAACCGTCTTTTTACCCCAAAATTATCTGTTGCTTAACAATCACAAAGGACGAGAAAATAAGAAGGATAGAACTGACAGCAAAACGTCTGTGGAAGTCAATGCATGCTCTGACTGAGCAATATCTCACCAGCATGCACTAAAATTAAAAAATTCAGCATAAATTCTGTGCATCAAAAGTTTTAGAGTCATTTACATGGAAAGAAGACATTTAGTTACTCTGAATTATCGCCAATGTAATGGAGTGTGAACAGAATATTACTCCTTACTTAGTTTAATTAAATCTAGAAGCATTAATTTGAAAATGTCAGGAGTCTACTTAATATGCATTGAATACGGTATGTGTTGAATGTAATGAAGGAAATAAAAAAGGAACGGATTACATGTTCAATGCCGTTGCTGCGGTTGGTGCGGGACATTAGTGTAATTTAAAAATCCGCAGTCTATTTGCCACAGTTGAATTTAGAGTGCGGCAAATTTAAGATTTCACATTAAAGGAGGAAGAGGGGAAGGTGCTGAGAGCAGGAGCAGAAAGGGTAGAGAGTGGGAGGAGTACCAGGGGATCGGCTGGAGTGACGGGATGTGACAGTGAGTGCACTGGCTTGCAGGGTGGTTGTTTTACACTCCAATCACACAAGACCACCGTTCCCCAAGCCATGTTAATCTGATCCCCCAACTCAAGGAGACGACAGATGGAAGAATGCTGCTTAAAGAAAAGCAAAAACAGCAGCACAAAGCAGAACCAGTCTTTTTTATTATTATTATTGGTTCTTTTTCCACTTGTTTGGAAAGTTCTTTAATTTCTGTGTAAAAATATAGATTTTCTTTTGCTCATTGCATTCTTTCTATGTAGACTGTGTGTTGTGAGTCCCGAATGGCGTGTGAATGAACACCTTCGATGTGTACAGTATGCGAGTGTGCTCTCTGACTCGCAGCACTACTTTTGATTAGATTAGTCAGAGAGACATCCATCCTTTTAGCCTCAGCTTTCCCTCATTGGTAAGGGGCCACATTATTGATCCTGAACGGCTCCATTTCCTTTCTCTGTCCAAACTTATTAGATGCTCAGTCTTTACATAGCTCAGCTCCCTCCTCCTCCTCCTCCTCCTTCTATTTCATTCAATTCAGTGTATTTATATAGTGCCAAGTCACAACAGAAGTCATCTCAGGGCACTGAACAGAAACATTCATACATAAGAATATGTTAACATTATTTATCTGAGGAGCAGACTGCTTTGAATTTAACTTCATTGCAGACTCATCTTGAGCTAGCACAAAGGCAAGAGCGTAAAGGAAAAACTCCCTCATGAAGAAGAAACCTTTAGCAAAACCAGGCTCAGGACAAGCGGCCATCTGTTTCGACCGGCTGGGTGTGGAAAGAACAGATACACAATGGCAGGTCAAGAATCACATGTTAAGATAGAAATAGTATCAAATAAAAACTATTCAACTTTAACAATTAAGTTAAGGAAATTAGGTCAAATTTTCCTCTAGTAGTCCAAGTCTTTGGCGGTATAACAAGCCAACCCCAATTATAGGATTTATCAAAAAGGAAGGTCTTAAAACTGGACAATGTGTCAGCCTCACGGACAGAAACTGGAAGTTGGTTCCACAAGAGAGGAGCCTGATAACTGAAAGATCTTCCTCCCATTCTGCTTTTGGAAACTATAGGAACCGCAAGTAAGCCTGCAGTCTGACAGCAAAGTGCTCTGTTGGGAAAATATGGAACAATAGGATCTCTAATATAAGATGGAGCTAGGTTGTTGAGAGCTTTGTAGGTTAGAAGTAAGATTTTGAATTCAACTCTGGATTTGACAGGGAGCCAATGGAGAGAAGCTAAAACTATAGGGATATGATCTCTCCTACGAACTCCAGTTAAGACTCTGGCAGCAGCATTTTGGATCAACTGAAGACTTTTTAAAGAAGTATTTGGACACCCAGATAATAAAACATTACAATAGTCCAAATGCATGAACCAGTTTTTCTGCATCATGTTTAGATAATTCTCTTTAAAAGTTTGATTATTTTCCTTTTGTCTCCATCCTTTGCTATTTTCCATTGGGTTCTTCCTCTAGGATTGATTTTTGTTGTTGTTTTTATCCCTTTATGTATTTTCCAGCACATGCTTGTCTTATCTTAATCTAAATGTGTATCTGTTTTCTCTCTTATCTTCTGCATTACTCCTCTTGCCCTCAGCTCTGGCCTCTGGTGTCTAAACACCACCTCTGTCGATCTCTGAGCTCACTTGTTTCTCTCGGCTCTCTATTGAAGACTAACATTAGACTCCAAATGACTTTTGGGTTGTTTGCTTTAAAATGAAAACATTAATAAAGACAAAAAAAATTGTCAGCTTACTTGGTGACAGCTTGAGCACAACTAAATATAACAGAATACATAAAATATGGAACTTTTCTAACATTTTCCTCTACCCTTTCAAGAAGTGAATGCATTTATTGGAACATTTTCCAGTTTTAAAGATTACTTAGGCTTGAGAATAAAACATATTGTCTCATCTTTGTGCATTTTTAAACACAATTAAAATATAAACTTGTTTTTTCTTGGTTTCTCTTTTGTCTGTGCGTTTCTGCAGGCTCTTTACCCCAGCCCAGAGGAAGGCTGGCAGATCTACAGCTCGGCACAAGACGCAGATGGGAAGTGTATCTGTACCGTGGTCGCACCAGCCCAGAACATGTGTAACCGCGACCCACGCAGCAGGCAGCTCCGCCAGCTCATGGAAAAGGTGACAGCTGTCAATAACACACTCACTCCGAGACCCAACTGTTACCCACACACAACACGCAAACAAAAACCGCCACTCTGCACTCGTGTCTGGCACCGTCTGGCACGCGCAGGCTGCCGAACTGAACAACCCCATCACTCATCAAACGTGACATCATTTGAAAAAGAAATTTGCTTTTGAGAGTTTCTCCGAAGGAAAGAATAAGAAATTGTTTGGACGAGTGTCTCGCAAATCTAAACCATGAAATGTATCCTCTGGTACTTATATTTATATTTTAATTAATATAAATCCATCGTCCACATTTTATTACATTCAATGCACGTACATTGTACAGTCCAAGTTTAAACTTGTTCCTAAAGCCGTATGCCTTGAAGGTGTCATGAATGCTTCAGGTTCCACTCCAGGTTGCACTTGGAAGGGCATCCAGCATAAAACCATTGCTGAATCCATCATGTTTTCTCGCTGTGATGGAATGGAGCAGTGGAAAAAAATGAAACTAGAATTGCGAGCAGTAATTACCAGGGTCTAAGACACTTTATGCATGTCGACCCTGGCTAATCTCATCCCCAGAACTCCTTCAACCTTGTGTACAACATATTTGAAATTTGATGAGAAGAAAACATAAGGTCTTAATGAGGTCCATGGGTCACAGAAACTTTTTTTCCAAAGCCTTAATTATCTTCTTCTTTAGGCTTTTCCATTTTCATGTCTCCACAATGTGTCATCCTCCTCCTTCTCACTCGGTCCTCACTCCAACTACCTCCATGTCTTCTAACTGCATCCATTTATCTCCTCTTTGTCTTTTTCCTGATAGCTGCATTTTTAACATTTTTCTTCCAATATACCCACTGTCCCTCCTCTGGACATGTCCAAACCATCTCAGTCTGGCCTCTTTAACTTTTATCTCCCACTCCTTCCACCTGTGTTGTACCTCTGATGATCTCATTCCTAATCTTACTCATCCTTGTCACTCCTAAGAACCTCATCATCTTCAGCTCTGCAACTTCCAGATATTTCTCTTTTGACATTTGCTGCCACCCTTTTGTCACAAATCACACCTGAAATATTTCTCCATCCCCTCCATCCTGCCTGGTCTCGCTTCTTCGCCTCTTCACCACACTCCCCGTTATATATGTTAATATTAATATTTTAGAAAACATTACCATAAGAACCATAATTTAATCTGATCTTTCATCCCCTTCAGAACAACTGGACCATCACTTTAATACAGCTGCAGATTCCATATGACTGTTAATAAAACGCAGAGTAACAGATGATGTAGCCAGCCTGCAATTAGTGTTATCATATACAGAAAATACTTATAATTTCTCATTATTATTATTAGTGTTTTTTTTTTTTTTTTTTTTTTTTAAATCAAGCTGTATGTTTTTAGTTTAACCTTTATTTTAGGCTGGACATTAAGAACAGTTTCTTATCTACTGTGTCGGCCTGTCGATGTTTTAAATAGATTAGGTATTGATCCTCTGACATGTTTTCAGATGAGACTTTGTTTAGGATCTTGTCAGGTTCTAGTTAGTCTAATTAACAATTATTTATTCTGCCAGCTGTGACAGAACTTGTTAAATTGCTACTGATTTTCACAAGCCTCTTATTAAACCATGAACTTCATGGGCCTAGAGTTTGTTTTCTACTCACCACCACGTGAAGCTGTGCAGGTACATGAAAGCTGCAGCTAACAGCAGGTCATCATCAACATGGTCCGGAGGTCCAGAAGTTTATTTCATTAATTTAGTTCAGCTTGAACAGTCGCGGTGTTGGTTGTTCTCTATGGGTTTTATCTGCCCGCCAGTGAGCAGGTGACCAACAGCGCATGTCTGTTGAGTATTCACTCCGGCAGATGAAGCGATCCGCCGAGTGGGCGGAGTTATGCTCAGTGTCTGTGGTTTGATATCACATCTAACCGGATCTAACACCGGCTGACTGATGAGGAACAAACCCAGTCATTGCGGGCTGCTTTTTATTCTCCGCCTGATTTAATTTCATATTTTTACGTTCAAACGTTTTACTCATTAACAGAAGGGATTTCAGATGTAACTAAATGAAACAGTTCAACTAAAATATACTTAAGTAAAAGTATATATTGGAATAATTACTTAAAAAGTAAAAGTACAGAAAATTAACTACATAATGCGAGTTCTGTACAGTAAATCAAATTCATACTCTTTACCCTGGATTTATGTTTAGACCAGAATATTTACCACTAGCTGTTAGATCACTGTCATCTCTCTGTACTCTAATGATATCAGAAACAGCAAAAAGGAAAGTTTACTTACATGATCATGAACAACTGCTACCATTTCCGGCCCCATGGGGCCCTAAGCGAAATTTGGTTTGGGGCCCTCTATTTCTGCTAATAATGTGAATTATTGCAATCAACAGTCATATGATCAGATTATTCACCTACGTAACATAAACTCGTTGCAACTCTGACAGCCGTGTTCACATTTTCCTACAGTGGTACTAAAAGTAACAAAAGAAAAAAATACAAACACCAGTATGCAATGTATTTTACAGCAAAAGTGTCATCTGGTTTATTATCTTTGGTTCCAAAGAATTGCAACAGTAATGTTCAAAATAATTTGTAGTGCAAAATCAACAACAAACAGATAAAATAACTTAGATGCATACAAAATAAATTAAATTATGCAAAAACAGACAAAATAAAAAAAAATTACAAAAAAACAAAGTGGCCACGGGGCCCTAAGCAGCCGTTCAGTTTGCTTATGCCTTGGGCCGGCCCTGACTGCTACTACTAATCATGAATTACATGAAGTTAGATGAGCAAATGCAAAGTCCCTAATTATAGTGCCCCATACAGGTGAACATGTCTGAGTATTGTTCTTTGCAGTTACTTCTACCATGTAAATATCATCTTGTGCTATTTGCAGTTGGGGCTCAACATAACTTTTATTTATTTACTGAATAAAAATTAAAAAATTAAAATAAAAAATAAAAAACATTTTCAAAAGCAGTAGCATTTCCCTGCCTCTGTGACTTGGACAAACTGACTGATTTACAGCCAGTTTTTGCGTTTGATAAAGTCAGTTGGCTGTGGTTGACATATTGACCTCCCATGTAGACTCCCATGGGTAATTCTGTACAGGCTTCTGTTAATTAAGATAAAATATACGACAGTGTTGATTCACAAAATCACCATTTCTGCACTGTTTTCTTATACGGAGAGACAACAAAAAGAGTGTATCAGTGTTACTGACCAACACAGGAGTGAATATAAAAGAAATGTCCTGTCTGTCATACTTTGTATTCAGACAAACAGATTTAACTACCAACTGCTGCTGGAGACAGCACACCTCATCTGCGTGTTTGTATAAAATTAAATGATATGAACCTGAAAAACTGAGCTTAATACCTTCAAACTGCTTGAACAGACATGATTCATCGAGCCACAGAAAGTTGTGGTTTTCATCTGTGCAGCTCAATGAAAGCAGAGCTGCTCGTGTTCAGCAGTCAAAGCCAGAGTGAGCGTGAAAAGTGAAAGCAGAGCGGTAGAACAGAGGGGAGGGCACTGACATTGATGTGGTCCTGTGGGGAAAAAGTGGAGGTAAACTAAGATGCTGAATAGGCGCCGAAGCCCCCAACGGATCATTGATACACCTGATATCACATATTATTTTCATTCTCACTGAAATCTGCCCGTTTCCCCTGATAATCTCTGTCAGATATTGTTTCAAGTGCTTGTTTATACAAATACAATTCACAAACGCTTCACAGGAGGCGCATTCCAACAGAAAAATATCCTGACACAGACACAAAACCGATTTGATAAACCAAGCTTGTCTCGAAGCAATTGGTTAAAGTGTTGTGATTGTTATTTTTATTTTTTTGTGCATAAGAGAGCACAGACATGTGAAAATGTTTCTACTTTGAATACCTGGCTAAATCCACATTATTAGATTATTAGATGCGGATGAAATAACATACAATATAGCTTCATACTATTGTTCTTGCATTACTGTATGAATGTCTTGTTTTCTTTAGTTTTCATTCACTGTTAGATTCAATAACCTACAGCATTTTCTTGGGTTTACTACTGTAATATGCTTGGGGATATAACATATTTTGATTAAAGACCTATTCCTTGAAGGATGTACATCACCCACCACCTTTCATTTCAGTTTCAGACTATCATATTTGTATGAGAAATGCAAATATAGATATTTGCTTGGTGAGATCTTGGAATTTAGATCAAAGTTAAGTGTCCGAGGTATATTTATATGCCTCATAATATGTTTTTTTTTTTACATTTTATTTTTAAGAAAGAAGAACATTATAAAGATGTAAAAGTATTTGTGAAGACAACAAGAAAAGTAGCTCAATCAGAGGACAACAGTGAAATGTACTCATAGATGTGACTCAAGGTACTGCACATTGTACTGTAAAGGCTTCAGATAAAGTCTTGGCAAAAATCAGAATAGTATAAGCTTATAATGTATTGTATATGGTGTGGGTTTAAATGCAGCTGGCTAAGTCCCTTTCATGCACTCCCTTCTTGTTGCTGTCTAATACAGTCCACAGGCTTAATAAGGACACCTGGGGTCAGCACCGCTTGATCTGCAAGGAAGTGAAGACCACAAATTAAAAGACTGTGTGTGAGTGTGTTTGCAAGTAGCAGAGCAATGCTCACCGTGACATCCTCATTTGAACCCAAAGCATGAGCGGGGGGAATTGTTTGAGACCAGATGCACAAAAGTTCTCCCTGACACAAGGAGCCAAGGGTACATTAACAATGTCAAAACCACCCTCTGTTCAAAGAATGTAAAGTAGCCTCACGCAAAATCTCTATTCAAGCTCTCTGTGACGCCAGATAAAGAGCTAGCCCTGAAGGATCGCACCAAAAAAACACTCGCAGCAGACTTCTGAACATCTCATCCCCCTTTGACCTTCCTATCTGGCTGACTGAATTGAGATTAGATCAAATGAAAAATGTGGCCATGGCCAGACAAACAAACAAACATGCTAGATGCAGAATGAGTCATCACACTGAGAATGAAGCAGACACACCTGAAGGACTGGAAGACTGCGACAGTAAGAGTTTGGAGGGAAGAGGATTCCCATATGCTTCATATGCTTCATATACTCTGGAACATTTTATTCTAAAAGCTGTTCAATAAAAAATAAAAACAAAAAGTTTTAATTGCTATAATGAGAGCAAATATTTCCTGGTGAGCCCAGGAGGCACGTGGGAGAAGATCTGGGTGTAGAAACTGTGGGCTGGACATGAAGGAACTGAGTGGGTTGTCAGGGAGTCAGGCAAGCTAAGCATTTGGTGCAAAACAGACTATACGCCAAACTGTGACCTTTGAATGTTGCATCTTTTTTTTTCTTCTATATCTCTTGAGTGCCTGGAGTTTCAGTGGTGCGTGTCTGAGTGGGCGTGCGTCTGTTCATGTGGGTAGCTGGACATATGTGCACGTACACGACAGCCCTGTAACATTTGTCAGTGTTTGGATAGTTTCAGTGCCAGATCTGTGCAACATGCAGAAGATGAGAGGGTGTGTGAAGACAGTACACCAACACAGTGGGCTGTCAAAGTATAAACCAGCTTAAAACTTATAGCAAAAATCAAACATAACGCAAAACTGATCCCCCCGAATACCAAAATTCAATAAACGCCTACTTAACTGCATGTTTGCTTCTGTATGAGGGTTTTCTGTATTGTGAATTGAGCTCTAATATTGTGGGGTTACTGGTAATATTTTGGTAGCTCTTTGGTATAGGTACATAAATGTCCAAAGCTGAACCTGTTGATTGACACATATATTGTTTCTTCATATCTAAATCCTAAAAAAATAAAATAAAATAAAAAAAAAATAACTGTGGTCCTTTAGATAAAAAGAGATAAGTTTTTACTCATGATCAGCAGCAACACATGATGGAGTTAACTGAAGGGAAAATCTACAGAGTACAATAATTAGAAACCTAGCATTCCTTGAAGATATACATTTCACCCACTCTTTTTCATGCCAGAGTATTAAATTAAAAGTATTCATAGCCTTTTTGGTCAAGTCATGGAAGTTTTAATATGCCCATTGTCATGCAACATTGAAAGATGTCACAAGATGTGTTAGAACCCAGAGAAATCCATCCACGGGTAATGAGATATTTTGCTAACAGTACAGACAAATGAACACCCGCATGCACACACAGAGACAGGGGAAATTATAATCGCCTTTTGTTTTCCAAGACGAGAAATACCGTATTTTCTGCCGTACACGTCACACTGTCCTATAAATTGCATCAGTCCAAATATGTCTAATAAAGTGGAAAAATCCATAAATAGTTTGCTTCGCCATATATGTGGCATCTATTATGCGTCACCGCTGACAACCAGGGAATGTGTGCCGGTGTTGTAGCAAAAATTGATTGGCTGACAAATGGTGGCGGCGGGAGCGCGCACGGGAGGACTTTAACAAAAATCTAACTATTAACACTTAAAAACAACTATTTGTTTGCTCAAAATTATAGCAAAGGTGTGTCTCAGTCTAACTTTTCCTTAATAAATGCACTTTGACGGTCAAATCAGTTGCATTTCAAAAGCCGATACGTGGAAGTAGGAGCATGGATGGGACTCGCTGTGCATTTTTTCAAAATTTAACAAGATAACCACCTAAAAACAATTATTTGTTTGCTCGAATTTATAACAAAGGGTGAAGTTGAATTTTCAGTTCAACTCTCAGTTGAACTTTAACTTAATAAATCCACTTCAATAGTCAAATTAGCTGCATTTTGCCAGGACGGCACAGTGAAATGAAGCTTAATTTATGGTTGCTCCTGGTGAGTTAGACAAAGTTGGCAGGATATGGCAAGCTGGTTATGTCATTAATAGCCACTTTTACCTAACTTGGGCGGCTGTGGCTGAGTCGTCCTCCAATGGGAGATTTGGGGGTTCAAATCCACCAGCAGTCACATGCTGAAGTGTCCCTGGGCAAGACAATGAACCCCTCATAGCCTCTGGTGTGTGTCCCATCAGTGTATAAATGTGATCTAAAGCACTGATTAGTTTCATTAGAATGATTTGTTCAATTAGCTTTGCAGAGATCTAGTAGAGTGCTGTATGAATGGGTAAATGAGGACATAGATTGTGTTGTAAAGAGCTTTGAGTATCTTGAAATAAGACAGAAAGGCGCTATATAAGTACAGTCCATTTACCATTTACCTATTATATGACACAATGGCATGCCATATTTCTTGAGTGCCATCTAGCGGCTGAAAATGTTAGTGCTCAATATTTTCAGTCAGAATGAATGAAAATGGTCATATCTCAGCCAAAAATTGGTTTATAAATATTGGGGGGGGGGGGGGAATCCATAAATAAGTTGCTTTGGCATAGAAGTCACAGCGCATGCAAATTATGCAAATAACTGCGACTTATAGGCCGAAAAATACGGTAACTAAACATCCTTAACTCAGGTTACAGAGTTTTTGTGTGGAACACCCATAAAAAGGAGTTCTGAAGAAGTGACTTCTTGTAGTGTAAACCAGAAACTATGACCAAACCAGTGCGTGTGTGCACGTGTGTGTTTGCTCTGCAGGTTCAGAACATCAGCCAGTCAATGGAGGTGCTGGACCTGAGGACCTACAGAGATCTACAGTACGTGAGGAACACTGAGAGTCTAATGAAAGTTGTCGATGGAAAGCTGAAGGTGGCTTCTGAAAACCCTCGCAACCTCAATCCAAAGGGCTTTCAGGTAACTGGCTCGTTGTCTCCTCTTGTACCCTCGAGTGTGTTTACAAACCGACAGCTGAACACTGACACTCTGGATGGGAGACTGCTCGCTAAACTTTGCCAAATGCAACACAGTCTTTTGTTGCTCTTCACAGATAATACAATTTTATTTTACTGCTGGATGACTGCTGTATATATAAACACTGGTGTACAAACTAAAATACCAGTTCAGTGGAATTATTGGGTCCTACTCTAATGTAGGCCAATCATGTGTTCTTCTTGATAATTAAATCCAAAAACCTGCTTTTTCTGTCTCACTCTTCCTACTTCTCTTCCACTCAGCCCCTCTCACAGCTCTATACTTAACATTCAGGCATCTGCTTTTAGATTACAGGCACATGCATTCACATTTATTTCACCTTATCTCTCTGCAAGTGAAGGCTTAGTTGCCATTATCAGCAAGCCTTTTTATTTTCCTGTCAGCGGGCTGTCCTGCGCGGGCTTTCTGCACATTTCTCACACACTTACAGATATTAGATGGGCCATAAAAATGTTTGATTAAAAGATGCTCTGATAAATGCTGAATGTGCTTCGCTGTCGGGTTAATGCCTCAGCTCAGGGACAAGCATGAACGTTTGCATTAGCTTTGGGTTTTTTAGTGATCATGTTCCAACAAAGAAAATGAGACTGTTTATAGAAATGAGTTAGGGCATCTGCAAAGCTTAAAATTGCTAAAACATGCAGACTGCAAATTATTTTATTGTATTTGTGTGAATGCAAATTTAATATTTTTGTTCAGAAAGAAAGGAAGTGACCAAAGCAGGTCAGCTGATGAATGTGTGCAGCTTAAAGTTGCCAATGACAGAGCATGGGAGATTAACGAGACTGAATTTTCGCAGCTTGAAAAATTGAAAATTAGATTTATGATGTGGCGCCACAGGGCTGTGAGCTGCTCCATCACCAGATTTACGATAAACCCTAACAAGGAGGAAACAGCCCCTCCTGTGGTGCCTACACTTTATTGATACACCTATTTCTCTGTTGAGCTATCTACCTTCCATGCCTTCAGCCTGGCTCTCCTGCTGCTCCCTGCACTCCTACCTAGGCACGCATTGTTCATTTCTACTTCTAAACTCAAAGTGAGTCACAGCTCCAACACACAGCAGCGTGTTGGATTCTCTGTTTCTTTCCATTTAGCTGAAACCCTTCCACTTGGAACACTTAACAGAGATTAGTGCAAGAGAAGCTGCAGCTTCTAAGTCTAATAAGTGACTTTTTAATTCATAAAATTGCTTTTAAATGAAAACAAATCAGTGCTTTCAACTAATGAATGAAAGTGGGTGGAAACTGGAGCAGTGCATTAACCAAAAAAAAAAATGTTTATTTGTACAACAAATTAATGTGAGGCTGGTGGAGGAAATTTAAAAAAATGGAATGATAATGTTCTAGAAAAAATCAGCAACACAGCCATTAACTCTGATTAATAACATCTAGATGGAGCAAATGTGCACTCAGCTGCACAAAAGATATGACAATTCCAACAAAGCTACTTATGTGTGCATTTTTTTCTGACTCACGTTTTGTCCTCATTTTGCTCTTGAGGGTTTAATCCTTGCTTCCCCTTTGCTCCTTTTTGCCTCCTGCTGTGTTGCAGGAGCTGAAAGACAAGGTGAACCAGCTGCTCCCTCTGCTGCCAGTGCTAGAACAGTACAAGGCTGATGCCAAGATGATTCTGCGTCTGCGGGAGGAGGTGAGGAACCTTTCTTTGGTGCTTATGGCCATCCAGGAGGAGATGGGGGCCTACGACTATGAGGAGCTGCGCCAGAGAGTCCTGCTGCTGGAGACCAGACTCCACTCCTGCATGCAGAAACTAGGTGAGACAAACGTGCAAACTATGGTGTATAAATTGAAAACATCATGCTTCAAATATACATTTCTGCTCAGAGCTCAAAGAATCTGCATTAAGAATTCAAACATTTGCCAGTCAAGCTACACAAATAATTGATTGTGTTCTTATCTAACATACCGTAAAATTATAATTCCACACATTAACTGATGACTTAACAAAAGCAGATTGCATGCCTTTAGCTCATTTGCTTCTTTAAAATAATTAATGCAAAGAAATTATTAACTTTACGGTCCCGATTTTGCTACTTTTATAGAATATCTTTACTGGAATTAACACGCAGGTCCTGCCTCTCAGTTCATTTTATGTGAGTGTAGCAAAAAGACTGCAAGATTCTCTTTACCTTGTCTAAATATGTGGGTGGTGACTCGTCAATTTTTTTATGAGGCTCTGCTCTAATAAAGATCTGTCAATAAATAAATATTAAACGATCTAACAAGCTTGGAAATAGCTTCATAGCTTCTGCTGTAGATTAAGATGTTTTTACTGTTTTACCATTTCAAACAGATGCCAAAAGTTACGTGAAATTACACGTTTAACATTCCTTGTAGGAATTTATATCGCCTGCTACCTTTAACGCCAGAGTTTAACGTAGACCAAAATCATCTTGTGTTGATAAATGATGAAGTTATAGCTATTTTGGTCAAACCTTGAAAATTACTTATGCACAATCACCTGAATCAAATGTGACAATACAATATATTAAAAGATCTTGCATGATGTATGTTGTGAATGACTATCAACTACTGCCACATCAAATTTTAGCTCAGTATCTGTAAAACAGGCTGAGTTATTATATGTGCATGAAGACCAAGGTTGATTTACTCTGGCAACAATTTTGAATTGGGTTGACACCATAAGTAAATCAAAAGTAAATCATTAGTAGATTTACAATTATTAGTTTAATTGAAATCCATCCAGTGGCTAACAAGATATTTTGCTAACAATACAAACAGACGCTCACAGGCAAATGCATTATCGTTCCTACTTCCCTTTCAGTGGCAGATGATCATAAAAGCAACTGTACCGAATGCAGTGTATACAGTTTATCTAACTGAGGCATATATTCACGTTTTCCACTTCTGCTTCTTCGACCTCCAGGCTGTGGGAAGCTCACTGGTGTCAGTAATCCCATCACAGTGCGAGCATCAGGGTCGAGGTTCGGCTCGTGGATGACAGACGCCATGATACCCAGCTCAGACAACAGAGTAAGTCATCCTGTCCTTCTATTGTGACTTTGAAGTTGAAGAAACAAAGGATGACTTTACCAAAAAAAATCAAAAATAAAATGGAAAAAATACAAACCTCCCTCACAGTGATGCTGTCATGGTGCGTCAGTGACTGATTGACTGTGTTGCCTGAGTAGAATTTCTCATGGGTTCAAGAAAATGGCAAACACTGAGAGAGAAACAGGGAATGTGGAGCTGAGTCATTGATGAACTGCATCGGTTTCCTACCTGTCTTCCTCATTCATTACAAACTACAGCTGACTGATCGCTTTATCATCATTGGAGAAATAAATGAGCTGCTTGGGCTAAAGTTTTCTAAATCCACTGGGTAATTACCAGGAATGTGCCACGATGCTCTGAACTTGAGCAAAATAATACAAAGTACCCTCCAGAGACCAGAGCCGGAGTCTGTAATTGTGGTTCTAGGGCCACGTGGCTCTTTGGTTCCTCTACAGCGGCTCTCTGTAGCTTTGATCAAAAATAACGTGCGAATAAATATATTTGTTCGTACCTTTAATAGAAAGTGTTCATATTAGAAGTACTACCGTTAAAGTTTATGCAAATCTGTGAATAAAATTTTGGTGACATAATGATACTAATAATACAAGGAGCAAAACGGATGAATTAGTTTACGCTACTAGCATGTTAGCTTATTAGCTACTTAATTAATCCACCCTCCAGTTTTGCAGCATAGTCATTCACTAAAATCCACTAGAAAAGGCTACAAAAATAATGCTTTGATAACATTAAATATTAAAGAAAAAAGCCTATGTTTGATCAAAAACAAATGATACAAATTAAAATAACTGAGGGTCTCTGTATTTATAGAAAATATTCACCAAGTCGTACAAAATGCATAATAAATTATTTTTATGTCTATACCTCATTATTTCAAAGTGGGATACATATATTAATAATTTGATACATAGACTTTATTAGTATAGACATATCTTCATAAGACTTTTTTTTTCCTTTTTCCTAATGCAGTGGTTCCCAATCCTGTTCCTTGAGGAACACCATCCTGCATGTTTTAGTTGTTTCTCTACTCCAACACACCTGATTGAGTGATTTAATTACTTCCTCTTGTTCTGCAGAAGCCTGCACCCATTTGTTAATATCAGGTGTGTCTTAGATGGAAACAACTAAAACATGCAGGATGGTGTTCCACAAGGACCAGGGTTGGGAACCCTTGTAATACCAACAAATGTCAACAATTTTTTATTCATATAACAGTTTAAGAGCTGTGTTGTCTTTTATTTAAGCTTCAAACTTGTTTTGCAGTTCTGGACAAATTTCATTTAGTGTGACAAGGAGCAGAAATGGCTCTTCTGAGTGGAGGCTGCAGATAATAGAGATAATATAGTAAATGGTAAGAAGTGAGGGGTACAAAGGAACAGTAAAAGTGAACAGTAGTTTTATTTTATTTTTTTATATGAGAAAATGAAAGTCGATGAAGTTTAGGATGAGATTAGGTTGGCCTTTTGTTAACTACAATGAATCATAACAGTGTTAATAGATATTGCAGTCAGACAAGGTCAGTTTCTGAGTCTGAGACTAAATGTCTATAATCACCTGACTTGCTGATGTTCTGTTCAACTCTTCAAACGAGTTTCTCATTGTATTAATAGGCAAACATATCAGCATTTACTGGAATCATCATAATTTTACATGAAAATGTTGCTCAGGAGTCGGACTAAAAGCACAAACTTGGCTTAAATGTGCCTGAGTTTTGCCCTGGCTCAGCTCCTGTCTCACATTCACCTCAAGGGACTCATTTAGCAAGCACAGAAGAAACCGTGCTTAATGTTTTACAATCTACCCTCCTCCATAATTCAGCTGCTGTACCACACCACCGCTCTTCCACCCCCACTCTCTGCAGCTGAAAAGTGCTTGTTCTATACATACGAAGGAGCCAAGAGTAAGGCTGGAGCGAGAGAGAATGATGGAAATGAATCAGAAAGGCAGCTACATCTTAGCAAAGGTCATCTTGTTATGTTGATGACAAAATAAATATCCATTCCAACGACAGTTTAATTGAATCAATTGAAAACCGAACTGTGTCTCATTGGAAGCGCTGGGGGAATGAAAGCTGAGAAGCAGCCGGAGAGGTGCGAAGTCAGAGGATAGATTTGCTGAGGGCGCTCAAGGAAAAAGATAGAGTTGCTAAATGGATTGATTTTCTATAAATGGGGACCGGAAAAGGGCAGGAAGCGCAAGTAGTGGTTGCCTGCAAAGCGCAGGCAACATCTCTGCCCACATGCAGGAGAGATCAATAGTTGTGCACACTCACATTCACATGCATACAACAGCACAAAGGTGCACACTCACATTCAAACAAGTAAATTCACCACACGCTCATCGTTCTTCCTTTGCTCAGGGCAATGCCACCAGCAAAACATTATTGAAACGTTAGATTGTTGCTGCAAAGAGATGTGTTGGTTACAGTGCAGCCTGATCATTTATCATCTTTATATCTTTTCATTAGCTACTTTAATCCAACCACTTTTTCCACTGGGATTCTATTTTTTTATTTTATTTTTTTAAATGTCCTTTTTTGTGTGCTCTGTGTTTCAAACAGGTCTGGTCCATGGATGGTTACTTCAAAGGGCGACGCGTCCTTGAATACCGCACAATGAGTGATTTCATGAAGGGCCAAAACTTTGTGCAGCACTCGCTGCCACACCCCTGGGCCGGCACCGGTCATGTGGTCTACAACGGCTCACTGTATTACAACAAACACCAGAGCAACATCATCATCAAGTACCACTTCCGTTCTCGCAGCGTGTTGGTGCAGCGCAGTCTCAGTGGGGCCGGTTATAACAACACCTTCCCGTACTCCTGGGGCGGCTCCTCTGACATCGACCTGATGGCAGATGAGAATGGCCTTTGGGCAGTTTACACCTCCATCCCCAATGCTGGGAACATCGTCATCAGCCGCCTGGAGCCCCAAAGTCTGGAGGTGCTGCAGACCTGGGACACGGGATTTCCCAAGCGAAGTGCTGGAGAGTCTTTTATGATCTGTGGCACACTGTATGTTACAAACTCTCACCTTGCTGGTGCCAAGATCTACTTTGCCTACTACACCAACACATCGAGTTATGAGTACACAGACATCCCCTTTCATAATCAGTACTCCCACATCTCCATGATGGACTACAACCCTAGAGAGAGGGTCCTGTACACCTGGAACAACGGACACCAGGTGCTCTATAATGTCACACTCTTTCAGGTCATTAAGACTTCTGGGGACTGAGACTCCAGTATAAATGACCAGTTCAAATAATGCTGTGATCACTGTTCAAAATGGACAAAGAGGCTGGGTGGAGGTGGTTCTGGAGGGGGTTGGGTTGGGGTTGGAAATCTGTAAGCTTAGAATTGAAATTTTTTAATGAATTGAAATCTTCATAGAGTGCTATTATTCACATTCTACCAAAAAAAATGACAACAGGATTGGTGAAAGTTTAAAGACGCGTCTCTCTCTTTTTTTGTTTTTCTCTTTTTTTTCTTTTTTGTGATGAGTAAGCATGGTTCTTTTTTTTTTGTGATGACAAATAAACATCCACTTTACCATTTATGATGTTGTACTTTTATTGCTGCTTTTTGTCAAAACACAACCTAAAAGTAAAAAGTTTCTACCAGATATGTTGCATTTGTCACTAACATTAAAAAGCTTTTTTTTTTTTTTTTGTTAAACTGCATATATAAACAAAGAAATGAGTTTGATGTCAAAATACAAAATGTGCTTAGTCGTAAATTTAAAGCCATGCGCAAACAGATGTTTGGAAAAAGGCCTTAAATTCAATTTTCTTTACTTTAACAGTGATGAAGACACAGCATGAATACTGACAAGTTCATATTTAGAGCTGTATAACACCTCAACTTGGAAAAAATATTATTTTTCTAAAAAAGTCAGAGCATGGGTCTTTGTGAATTCTAGGAAATTAAAGCATGTGCTTCCAATGGCACAAATGCGTTCAATTTACCGGCAGCAGCCACCTCTTACATTTCATTTTACCAAGGTGAATTGGAATTGAAAGCAAAACATCTGGTTAAAGGTGCAGGCGGTGGTGTGACGGCTGGAGAGGAACACAGGGAGAGAGATGCAGAATGTTAAAGGTGTTTACATTGGAGCAGTGAAATGACGCTTCACAATTTGTGTTGCTTGTCAAGCTTCAATCTGCTTTAATCTTGTTAGACGCACTGATTTTCCTGGGAGCTCTTTGTAGAGAAATGTTTAAACACGAGGCACACAGGGGTTCTGTTGGCATTAACATTTAAAACCTAAAACCTATACAAATATATATGTATATATACACGATAGATAGATAGATAGATAGATAGATAGATAGATAGATAGATAGATAGATAATATGGTTTTTGGTAGGGATGCACGATATAGGATTTTTGGCCGATATCCGATTTGCCGATATGTTAAAACGTATTCGACCGATACCCGATACTGATATTTTATATACATTCCTTTGTCAGAATTTAGGCTTATTTGTTACAAAAATTGCGTCACAGCTGTTAGAGCTGGTGACATATATTCAGTAACAGCCATATGATATGCATAGCATTTTGACTTATATTAAATGAAAAGTGTTAAATGTTATTTATTAGCATTAGTCACCTGCAATTCTGTCTCATTTATGGAGGCTTGTTCTGGGTTCCTAGCTGCAGTGTGGGATCCTCTGCAATCCTGTGCACGAAGGACATCCTTTTTAAGTTCAAAGTTTTTGTCTATCCATTGTACTGTAAGACTTAATCATGCTAACGGGGCTAACACCACGTTCAAATGTCTGTGGTAAAACTCACCCAACAAGTCATGCTATCAGCTATTAGCTTCTCAATGACGTCAGAAATGACGGCTTGTAACTTGGGTAACATTACGTCGGAAAAATATCTCAGACTGGGGACAATGTAACGAGGCTCAACGTAGTCCATAAATCTTCAGAATCCGATATCCTCACCAACGAAAAATAAAACTTCCACACTGCCGACAATTTCAATTTTCCTCTCCGACATGAGCTCGGGTAGGTGCACATGACGTCATCGCGTTGCGCTGCCGCTGCAACATCATCATGTTGTGCTGCCGCTGCAGGCAAAAACAGTGCCTTTTATATCGGCGAGTTATTTTAATGGAATGGCCGATGTCTGATATTGAAATTTAATGTTAATATTGGTCGATACCATGCCGATAATATCGTGCATCCCTAAAATATATAATGTATATTTTAAAAAACATCACTTTTTAGTGTGAGTTATTATGATGGACTGGCCGATGTCTGATATTTAACTTTATCGCTAATATCGGCCAATACCGATATCATGCCAATAATATTGTGCATCCCTAATTTTTGGTTTTAAATTTCGAGGATTTTGTCCCCCAAAACGTGAGTGGGAAAGGTAAAGCACCCACACCTGCCTCCACCCTTGCTTTCTCTACTCTGGGCCCTCAAGCAAGGCCCATAACCCCCACCATCTAGTCCCCCGGACGCCCTATATGGCAACTCTCTCCTCTACACAGCAGGCTGTGGTAGCTCTGGTCTATGGTTGTGTGGAGCAGCCAAAAGAAAAAAAGGTCATATACAGACAAAGCCCTACTGGGCTATCACTTTACTATTTTCATGTTTAAAGCCTTTGCTGATGCAGCCATTTGCAAATGCCACAGTGCACCCAGAAGACATAAGATGAAATAGGAGGGACCATTTTCCTTGTCCTGTGTCGCTATGGTGATCCAGCTCATCCTGAATGACCTTTCTATCAGCAAAGGGTTGTGATGGGGGGCTCCTCAATGAGTGCATACACTTCATTGACATTTAGGACAAAATACAGTCCATGAAGATTAACATCACACAGCAATTTAAAAATTAAAACTGTGTTTTATGATCTGCACAATTGAAAGCAACAAGTGAAGAGTAACATCGCCAAAGATTGAAGATTTGTGGGAGGAATGGTTTCACGTTTTTAGTAACATAAAGCATTGCATCTTGTATTTATTAAAACATCACATGCATTAGAAATAAACAAGAATTCATCTGAAATCTGTCATACATATTGGCATTTTAAACTTACCCCTGTGTTCTACAGAAAGCAGAAATGTTTTAATGATTGTTAGAATGGTTGCTCTTGGAGACAAAAATGCGCCAGCTGTGCACTTCTGATGTTGGTGTCGCAACAAAGTTGGTGTGGGAGGAACTAAGTTTTCCCCACTGGTAATGAGCATGCAGGGCTTTTGCATCTTTTCTGTGTCGCACACACTTTGCAACACTAAAATAACTGATCTCACAAACACCAAGAAGATTCTGGTTGCAGTGAAAAGCAGAGAGGACCTTTCCTCTGTTGTGTAAAAAAATGCAAACTTTTTTTATGTGTAACATTTAATTTGTCTATTTAGCACATTGATGTCCATTAGTAACACATTTTCAAATGCTCCTTATTTTCTTGCTACATGTGCACAGATAACATCAGGTTGGCAGCAAGCAGAGATGCAGCAGCTCAGAGCTTTACTTGCATCATTTTCTATTACAGCCTTTCAACACTTGGACAAGTTTAGTGTCCCTGATCAGCAGTAACTACTGTCACCTACTGATTGGATTTCAGGAAGCAAAAAGACTTTGTATTAGTGGATTTTATTCAGCTACACAACAAACATACACATTTAGCCATGACAAACATATATAGCCATGATTTCAGGTTGCCTCATCCACCTGATCAAAACATTATGTGGATAGAAATCAAAAATTAGGTTCATATCTTAAAAAGATGAACTTTCAGTGTCATCTGTGGCATCATCCAGATCTTCAAAGCTGAAAATGTTACAGTTCGGAAGAAAGATGGATCCAAAAAACCATGGGGAGCTCAAATGAAAACAAAAAGATTTAATTACTACAAATAATACAAAACAGAAGGCTTGCATGGCAGCAAAAGACAGACAATAACAGAGCTCCAAAATACACAGAGAGCCAGACAAGGCATGAAACGGAAGTACAGACTGCAGATGAATAAATACAGAGAGAGTAAAGTGACTGGAGCTGAGGAGTGGAGAGGAGACACCTGGGCAAAATGACAACCGGAGGGGCAGGAGTGAGGAGCAGATGCTGACTGTGAAAAATACTGAAAATATCAGGAAACAGGGAGGAAACAAACGGAACACAAAGGAAATACAGAAAATAAACATCACAAGAAATAACAAAAACCTCTCAAATAAATAATAAAAAAGGCAAAAACAGACTGTGACAGAAATAAGAATAAACAGCACTACATCCTGTTGAAAAATAATCTAGCCACATTTCCAGTTGCTTGCATTAGAAAATGATTTATTTTTTCATCCACTGCCATACAAAGCCACTGGGTCCTGAGCAAAGGAAAAGGTAAATTTATTTATTTATTCATTTCATTTAATTTCCAATAAGAACACAAATACAATTTCAAAAAATTAAAGAAAAACAAATATAAAATGAAAGGAACCAGAAGAAGAAATTTTCTTATCATATCTGCTCCCTCATAAACAAAATCAATTCAAACCATCAATTTAAACATAAACATTCATATATAATACATCAAAATACATAACTCATCAAAATTTCATACTTAACAAGTAAATACAAGTTTAAAATATCAATGTCAAAGTTTACAATTCATTCTCTTTATATCTACTGGCATGTGTTGTCGCATGTAAAAGGTCAATATTAAAAAACACAGATTTATAAATGATTAAATTTTCTATTGTAACAAAAGTAAATGGGGAATTTTACAGAACTTTCCTTTTACATAGATCTATACAAGTCCTTATGAGGAAAGAGCTTTAATATGAACTTTTTTATCATAATAATATAGCTGAAGTTTCATTTTGCAGTGGTTCCCAACCCTGGTCCCTGAGGAACACCATCCTGCATGTTTTAGTTGTTCCTCTGCTCCAACAAACCTGGTTTGAATGAAAGTGTGATTAACAAGCTTCTGTTGAACTTAGGGAAGTAAATAAACCACTGAATCAGGTGTGTTGGAGCAGAGAAACATCTAAAACATGCAGTATGGTATTCCTCAAGGACCAGGGTTGGGAACCATTGATTTAGAGGATGTATTGACCTAAAGAAATGTGTCAGTGTGAACAGTTGACACAGCACAGAACCACCAAAACAAAAACTGACTACAGAGTGATACTGCTTGCTTTATTTATTTAAAATTTTTATGAACATGCTTTATCACATGAAGTGACTGAGTGCAGTCGGCACAAACAAAACTGCTTTGATT